AATGCATATTCTTTGACGATTAAAGTCTATTGATGAGTCAGTATTTTCAAAATGCTGTTCTTTTTCTCAATTGTCCTGTTTTCAACATCTTTGTCAAGGATGTATCCTGGAGTAATGGTACATTAGTGGCTAACCCTGGAACTTTAGAATAAGAATAAATATGTATTCAACATACACCAAATCAAAATATGGCAACCAATAAGAATAACTTGTTTTACACTGACTAGCCTCATGTTCACATGGAAACATAAAAGAGTTAGTTGCTAGTCAGTGCAGAACGATAGTTATTCAAATTGGTGGCAATATTTCRGTGTATTACAAGTGCTTTAGTTTAAAGTGTACATTAGAACAGTGTAGTAGTATGGTTGCAGAATTTTTGTATGTGAGATATAAACATTTGAAATATCAATATGCAAATGAGATGTAAAATTCAAAAAGAGATAACTAGCTAAAAACTAGTGTGAGCTAGAATGTGTTACATTTTGGGGGTTGTTCAGCAATCAAATCATACCAATATCTTTAGGAAATAACCTTAAAGTGTGACAAAACCATGTATTTCAATTATAAGGATGATTTGCAAAATGAAAAAAACAGCAGTTATAACTTTCCACAGCAGCATTTTTGTATAATAAATTAGTCTTGAATTTACATCATCTCATTTGCATTTCGTTATTTCAAATGTTAAGGAAAATTCCACATAAATACTGCAACCATACTACTACACTGTTCACATATAAGTGATTTGGAAAATAAACTTTTCCCCTTGATATACACTTTAATGTATTCAGTGCATCGGTTAGCTTCGGTGTAATTTAATGTTTTTCCATTTCAGACCATGTGTCATTCCCTAGAGTGTAATACGTGGCTGAAAAGGGAAAACGTTTCACCCAAGATCAATAAAAAGGTATAATTACTGATCTTATCAAAATCCATTCTCGTTCGTTGATTGGGAGAAAATCACAATAGGCGGACCAAGTCATTTCACCAAGCTCCAGACAAGTCCCCCTTCCGATGAGGACGTTCAGGKTTGCTTGACACGACTGGAAGTTGTTGAGTGAAAAACTACGTCACGTAACTCCAATACATTCCCCTATAAACTATACACAGCAACCTTGTTTGGGCTTCCTGCGGTCTGCATATTCTTCTTAATACCCGGCCCCGACCTTCCACCTCGAAAACTTGCTTGTGTGCAGTGCTTCGAAGTGCTGGATCAGAATAGAGGAAAAATGTCTGAGAAACGATCCAAACAAAGAAATAAAGGTAGAAAATTTAACATTATAGCTATTATTGTTYATAAATCAATGCTTTACAGTGAAACCGAATGTTTCTTTCCCTGTGACGTTGCAACATTGCGTTACAATATTGGAATGTTGATTGGCTGGTTCCTCTGAACAAGTTGCAACAATCGCGAGCAAGTTGCTCTGAAAACTGTAATATTGTTGATAACGAAACGAAACGAATTATAGGGATCATTGTACTTTGCGAAACGAAACGAAACGAAATAAAATCTTTTTCTTACATATACCTTCATGTACGTAAAAATATGGAAGGCCGTTTCGTAGTCTTTGCACTTGTAGCTTTTCAAAACACTTAGCAAAACGCTTTCTACAACAGATTTTCTTCTGTATCCCGTTTCGAAGTGCTAACCTTGCGATTCTTCTTCCTAAATCTCTTGAACCAGAGGAATAACCTGACTGATTAAGCTGACTGTCGGTTAAGCTATTTCCTAAGCTAGGCGCCATTTTGAATACCACAGGGGCCCCAGCAATGAGCTCATGCAACACTGCATATAAACGTAATAACCCAACATATAAATTGGCCAAGGTGCTTTTGATCACATTTCAAAAATAACTTTCTGATTTTTCCAGGATTGTTATCGGAAGTCCAATATGGRCTGTTTTGTGTTGCATGATAGATTGCTGGGGCCCCTGTGGTACTCAAAATGATGAAACCAGCCTCAACGAGCCAAAACGAGCAAAATAACGAACCACAACGAGCACCAACGATCCACACAAAATAATCAAATACCACCTTTCATTAGGAGTTTATCCAAAAAAAACTTCCAAAAGGAAATCAAAACCGTTTTATTAAACGATCTTAATATTAATCGCTATGATACTGAGATCTTCAAACTTTTTAAGTAAGTCTATCTGTAATGAGCTATTTTTCATTTTCTACTCAGTGAACTACTTTTCATTTCCTATTCAGCTCTTTGTACTCTGATATTAACATTTATTTATTATTAACATATAAAGACATCTTTGTAAATCTACGTGTATATTCTGTGAATTTAACCTGCCTAGACTAGCTTTAGCTATATGCAGGTTATATAGTTTTTCTTTTTTGTATTCTTTTATTCATCAATAAAGTTAACACAACGATACAAAACGATCTCAAAAGTAAACAAGACCAAAATTCCACGCGCAAAATATTGAGTAACCGAACTTCCAATTTTACTCTTGGTTCTTGCCTTTTTACTTTTTTTCTTTGACATGTGCTCATTTGGTGATCATAAAGCTGTAAATTAGCACGTAGCCTTGTACTGAAACCTCTGCGTGTGCATGACAAGACATTAGCATAACTCGAAAGTGGGCTATCAAGCAAACTGGAACCGCAGATATTCTTCATATCATGTGTGTCTTGTCGAGCTTGGCATTTTATTAATATTAATTTTTGTTGCTCTGAGATTACTATGCACACAACTAGAAGCTGGATAAATACATGGTTGTTGTTTTGCAAAAGAAACGTACCAGCACTATTTTTGGCCCATGATTTCATGATTATTAGGTGCATCAGTTCTAGAGAGTCATCCATCAATGTGTTTGTTAACTCGTAGAAGAAACGTACCAACACCCTGCAGTTCGTCCACCTAGTCTGGTCCGTCTCAATGAGATAGCTCACAGCCTCAGCCTGGATTTGTCCGATGGAGAACTTAAGGAATTTCAAGGTTTGTATTCACTAATATTATTCATCCACACACGTAAACCTATTGAAAGCGTCATTTACATCGCTAATGAAAAAAGAAGAGCATCTTATTTACATTGGAGATCAGTGCAGTCACGCTGGCAAAAAGAGTGCGCAACTCCCTAAAACATGCCTGAAGCACATTGTTTTCGTAGACGAAGCCTTCAGGGATGACACAGCGCACCAAGTTTGGTGGTTTATGGAGTTCTCCCAGCTCCACAAAATAGCATGAGTAAATACGGGATGAAAGACTTTCAAGCTCCCAAATACCAACGTTTATTCTCTGAGCGCTGTAGGAATACTACATCATTTTCTGGAAACATTCTTTTTTTTTTTTTCATTCCCATTGCTTTTATCCAGATGTAATAACGAAGTCACTCGAGACTACATATCAAAGGTTGCACGATTTGCCAGATCCTAAGCTACCAGTAAAATACCCTCGCACCCAAGGTTACCGCCCGACTGCCCAGTAGAATCCATTGAACGCCTGGTAGGTATATAACAGGCTTTAAAACAAACTATGAGTAGGAAGCGACTGTGTTCACCTACATAAGTGTGCAGGTAGCTAGCAGATGATTATGTAAATACCTCCATTATGTTCACCTACATAAGTGTGCAGGTAACTAGCAGATTATGTAAATACCTCCATTATGTTCACCTACATAAGTGTGCAGGTAGCTAGCAGATGATTATGTAAATACACCTACATAAGTGTGCAGGTAGCTAGCAGATGATTATGTGGAACCTCCATTGTGTTCACCTACATAAGTGTGCAGGTAGCTAGCAGATGATTATGTGGATACCTCCGTTATGCCACCTGTTAGAAGACTTCTCCGGTATTTGCCTTCTTCTTGTACTTGAGTGTTTCATACAGCATGCGAAGTCACATAGTGACTCCTTGACGCATGTGTGACGTTCCTATTCCTTCGAATTGAGGTATTGGAGATGTGATATTTCCGGTTCAAGAAATGGAAAACTCCAGGGAAAAACAGTGGCCATCAAAGATAACATTCCTGTAGCGGGCATACCAATGATGAACGGATCGCGGACACTTGAAGGTTTTATCCCCGATATAGATGCAACAGTCATTATTCGTGTACTCGATCAAGGTGGACGCATTCTTGGTAAAGCAACATGCGAGAACTTTTGTCGCAGTGGTGCGAGTTTTACGTCTGCAACTGGACCTGTGCTTAATCCAGTGGATCGTACGAGGATGTCTGGAGGTTCATCTTCTGGTTGTGCAGCTGTGGTGAGAAAAATACAATTGATCAATGATCTATAAACTCTGGCGAGCTACTTAAATATGTATGTTTGGAGAAAATGCGAGTCGGAAATGAATATTGAATAGCACGTTTTGCTGCATGTCGATAATTACAAATGCAAAAGTAACAACTTTATTTAGTTTGATCTATTATTATTTATTATTATAAGTTGTTTTCTTGTCTCGAACCATGCGTACAGAGGCTTTATATGACGCGACACTTTATCAGACAACAATACTCTGTATGCTTTACAATTACCTCTACCAGTTTGGTTCAACCCCTGAACACACCCTCACGCTCGCACTTTATCGTTGATATCATTTACTGAACCAATAGGTGGCTACAGGAGAGGTAGACATGGCTATAGGAGGTGATCAGGGTGGATCTATTCGCATACCATCAGCTGCATGCGGTATTGTTGGATTAAAACCAACATTTGGTCTGGTTCCATATACTGGTATTTCATCTATGGAAGCTACACTTGATCACACTGGACCTATGGCTAGGACTGTCTATGATACTGCATTACTGCTTGAGGTAAGTCTCTTAAATTCGTGTTTATCTATGTTGCCATTGTTGGTAGTAGGGTCGGATCCAGTTTGTTTAGAGGGGTGCACAACCCATGTTTTAAGAGGGGAGCACCGCCCAGGAATTTTTAAAGAGGGGAACACCACCCAAGAACGTCTTAGTGGCGGAGCACCATCCAGGAATGTTTTAGTAGGAGATCCACCCTTTATCATTATCATTAGGGAGTGCACCCTATATCATTAGGACGTTCACAAACTCAAGCACCAATAATTCAGTACTGCAGATATCAGCTCATCTAGAGGGCACAATTCCTGCACCCCATCCCAAGATTGGCGTTCATAGTTTTGCGCCCTATAATCGGACCTGCCTGCTTCCTGAAAAGAATTCATTTTCTGTTTAATGTCTTGCAGGCGATAGCTGGGTATGATGACAACTTGGATCCCCGACAGCCTCAAGGTTTAAAAGTACCAGCATATACCAAACAGGTTCGCCGAGTCGTGCATAAGCTCCGGCTTATCGTGACCGTTGTCGTTTTATTGCGCTCGCATATTACGCTCGTATATTACGCTCGCATAATACGCTCGCTCTCGCAGAGCTCGAGGTCGACTTGGAGAAAGTCTATACCTAAGTCTTTCATGTATTCCAGCTGACAGGTGACATCAAGGGTCTTCGTATTGGTCTCGTCAAGGAGGGTTTTGATCCCACTTTTGAGCCAGACGTTAATCAGCTGGTCAAACAATCAGCAGAAAGACTTGGTGAAGTAGGTGCAGTTGTCGAAGAGGTATCGATTCCTTGGCACCTGGACGGTAACTGCTCAAATCTGTATACATAATCACCTAGCATTCGCGATCTTCGATTAGTATATTCCTGCACTTCTTCAGCCAATGTAGCACAGGTGTAAACCCTGACTAATAAAGTTGTTATTATAAAGTACTGACGTCATGTCTGCCAGCTGTGCAAAGAAGTGTAAGAAAACTACAATGCAAACTTGAACGCGTTTCATCTTCCCTTCCATGTTTGCTTTGTTTGCTTGCGCTTTGCTTGGCACACCTCAACACGTAATGCATTCATGAACGGAGTACGGAAAGCTGTGCTGTATGTTAATATCAATTGAATTAAAAGTTTCATTTCTATCTCTTTTCTCTAGGCAAAAACATTTGCACTGGTATATTCATGGAAGGATGCGACCGGACCATGTTCGATGGTTATGGTAAGTAGTTCGCTTTCTTTGAAGTCACTGAGTAACCCCGATCAGTTCGTACTAGATAAATCCGTATACCCTGGAAGCTGTGGTGGCGCTTCAGTCAGACCTCCCCTTATGATCCCCCCTTTGTGCTTTGACTTAACTTACAGGTGCTGGCACAAGTGCTCGTACATACTACGATACCCATGCACAGCAAGCAATGGCAAGAGGAATGAAGAGCCATCCTAATGACCACCCTCCTACAGTTACAATGCCCCGCTTAATTGCCAGGTACCGGTTGAATTAGTAATTCTATCATTATCAAAGATTGGTGTGAGTGGACATCAGATCTGCGTATTGACAGTGCTTTGAGATTGATTAGAGGCAATAAGAGACGGTGCGGTACAGCAAGAGCACTTGCCTGACCTTTGGGGTCTTGGGTTGTATCTATCTTCGTACCGTTTGTATCGCTTTGATTTAAAGRCACGGCTGCCTTTCAAGATGGCACAGGGAACTGTGAAGGGGACTTTTCAATCGAGAGTTAACCTTAAAGACTTAGATCTGTTCGGAGGTTTTTTAAAGCTCGATAAAATTTGGTGTTTGGTTTGTCAGTTGGAGATTTTGAGACGCACTTTTTTACTTAAGGTTGGGTTGCCGAGTGCTCTGTCTTGTCTGTTTGTCCGTCTGTCTGCATGATTTCCAATTTTCAAAGTTAATACTATTAAAATTGGGTTAGGTATCTACACGAGGATTACCATGGAATCTTTTACAGCAAGTCACAGAATCTCAGCCGTGAATTAAGAAAAGCTTACGACGAAACCTTTGACAAGTTTGACGTCATTATCATGCCAACGATTCCCAAGAAGGCTCCCAAGGTGCCCAAACCAAACCCTTCATTGGCTGGTGAGTGAGTTAAAAATGAATAAATATTAGTTATACAATGGTTTCGAGAGGCATGCCATGGAACACCCTTCGAGTCTGATGATGCTTCCTTCTTTTTCCACCTTGTCCTATCAGCCTTTGAAGTTCTTGAATGTGCCCCACTGTTGGCAACTCTTGAATTACCTATTTTCCAGTAGCTTACCTATTGCAATCCTTTGTTTTCTCTTAGAATTTCTGGAAGCGGCGTTTGGATTGAATCCCAACACGCGGCCATTTAATGTGACTGGTCACCCGTCCCTCACCATCAACGCGGGATTTTCTGAGGGATTACCTGTTGGGATGATGATCACTGGGAAAATGTTTGACGAGTCTACTGTACTGAACGTAGCCTATGCCTACGAGAAGCTGAGAGATGGAGTCTAGATAAAGAAGACGAACAAGTTGGGGAAAAAGCACTTCTTTTTGTCACACCTAGAACTTAGGACCTTCGAAGAAATCCAAGAAAACAGGAAAATTCTAAATTATAATACTTGGAGAAGGGAGAATCCTTAAACAAGTGTAAAGGCAAATCGATTAAAAAAGTGAAGGGTGTAGGTGTTGTGCCCCTACGATCAGAACATTTCGAAAAATTTTCATGTCAATCAAATATAAATTATAGCCAACTATTTCAAATTTCATGGAGAAAAAACTATACAATATGTACTATATATCTAAATATGAAAGAATAATAAATAACTTGTGTCTTTCTTAGATTTTATGATTCACCTAGATTGTGCTCTAGTTTGATGTATTCACTGCATTCGTTCAATAAGCCTCTTTAACTTGACGGAATTGTTTTCCCATTTCCGAGCGCGTGTCATCCCAACGCAAGGACGTCTAAAATGGGAAAATCTTTTAGCCATCTGCAGATAAAGAAGTCTATGTGCGACAGAAAGACGACTAACGTGACGCAAAGAGCCAACACAATGGTCACGCTAGGAACTAGTCTCCTACGCAGCCGCTCGGTTAGTGTCGTCACGCAACGCTCACTCACACTAATAGCGGCTACAGATCGCTACATAGGAGACTAGCCAGGAACGTGCTTAGCAGAAAGATAATACCAATCATACAATTTCAAATACATTGTCTTGTCTGACCTAGCAAAGGTGCGGCATTCTTCATAAGTTCTTTTGCTCAAAGCCCCTTCGTCCTTGAAAACGTGCTTGTGGCTACACACTCAAGAAGGTCATGTCTGAGATACAAAGTAACAAAGGTAGAAAATATAACATTTTGAAGGGCTGTTCCTTATAAATGAACACTTTATAAAATGCAGACGCGATGGATAACACACATACTTGTTGGGCACTGAATCAGTGTAGCAGTAACATGGTCTAACGACATAAATAGCTAGCGTGATGTAGCACAATAGTTATCTATTTTATAGATATCTGTCTACAATAGGGTCATGTTCCAAGCTCAGGACAAACAAACAGCTATAGTCTAGCTGATTATAAATTATCCGTCGTATATGATATTAGCATATTGAAGTCTAGCTGCAAAACATTTATGAAGCATGATTGGGTGTCTGTCTCAATCAAATCGGGTCGTAGAAAGGTTTTCTAATTCAAACGGCTCACTGCAGTTGAGGTATATATTGGATCGCAGACAAAATACCAGAGAACACGTAAAGAGGATGTAGGTCAATTGTTTGAGTTTGGATGTTGTTCCTAGACTTGTTGCACGAAGAAAACCTCCCAGACTTGTTGCACGAAGGAAATGTTCCAAAACTTGTTGCACGAAGGAAATGTTTCTAGACTTGTTGCAAGCGAAAGGAAACGTTCCGTAACGTTCTGGCTTTCAATAGACTACTTTTACAATAAATTGTATATCATTTCATGCATGCATGAAATAACGAGTGCTTCGTACGTTTTGCAACAATCAACACTTCTCTATTTCATAAGCTACGTAAACGTTCTGGGCTCATGTACTGTGATAGTGTGAACAGTTGCGTGACTATGATGGATTATTGCCCTCTGCAGAATTTAGTACGGCTTGGCAAAGAAAATCCAATTAGGATGCACGCCGCCAAATGTCCATCTAAAAGTTGAAAATACATCATAACATTTTATAGAATGTAGATTCCTTTTCTGGGACATTGATTAATTTTAAAAAGGGAACAGTTATTCTTTCTCACCATTGATACATTAGGGCGAGTATCGCAAGCCTATTGACTGGACCTGCCAATGCTTCTCCACTAAACTGGATGATGGATATACTTATTTCACTAAAGTTAGTTAAAGTTAGTCACCTGAAAAGCTACAAAGCTCCGACCAACAAGGATTATGGGTAGATACATTTTACATGTTTTAACCGCTTGATAACTGTTGATGGACTTGCACATCTTTAACCAGTTAGAGTCTTACCTCTTCTTCTGAGCATCCTTAAACTGCAGTTTGTATCAAAAAAATTTTACTTGTTTGATCAATGAAAATCCGGCTTCCATAATTCTCAGTAATCTTAGATTTTTTTTTTTTTTTTTTTTTTTTTTTTTTTTTTTTTTTTTTTTTTTTTTTTTTTTTTTTTTTTTGGTGACTAACTTAATTGAAATAAGTATAAATGTATTGTGGTTGTTTTGCAGAAAAA